ACTCTCAATCCAATTAGGACGTTTGGCATCAAATACAACAAATTTACTACGGCACAGTCCTTGTTATAGTAATTTCTTATTAAAGGACGGCTCCAGAAAAAAAACCATTAGTACATATTTGACGAAATGGGCAGGAAAAGCAAGTTCAAAATGTAGTAAAATGCCATTCTAAAATTTTTGAACTCAGCGTAAGTACAGATCTCCCAAGAACGGAGTTTTCACTTGTATATCGGGCGGGCTTGAAGCCGTTATGCCCTCATACACCACAGTGCACCGTGCACAAAAAACTGGAAACGCGCAAATGTAAAGAACCAGGACAAAGCCCACTTTTTGACTGAAGTGCCCGACCCCGTGGATGTACGGTCGCTAAAACAAAACGCTTGCACGTCTGACGTCTCAGATGCCCATTTGGACCATCGCCAGAAGCAGTTTAATGCCTGATGTCCGCGATTATATCTGATGATGGGTTTAAGGTCAGAATCTAAAACATCTGACGAGTAAAGTTCCTGTTCCAGCGATCGGAAATTCTTCCTCGTAAATGCTTCCTCAACCTTTCCTGTTTGTTTCTATTGGCTAAAAATTTCTAACTTACTTAGGTGAATATTCGCATTTTAGAAACTCGCCTGTTATAGGAAAATGGTCGAATGTCGGATGGACGAATTTATTCGTTCGATTTATCGGGTTCTTACGTGAGACCACCAGACGTTAAAGGTCAGTAAAAGATTATGATCTTGACGAGACGATGTGGCTTGCTTACGCCAAGCACGGTATGTCGGAACGTGGTAACGCAGTGCGAGACTAGCCTACGACAAAACGGGGAACACACTACCCAAATTTTATCAGAGTTCCGACTTCGATCCGTTCCAGGCCCATCTTGTACCCCGCTTGTTTGATCACTTTTGTGTTAGTGATCAGTCTGAAAGTGCGGATGACAAACCGCGAGAACCAGTCAGTGCGGCATAAGTTCTCTCTGGTATCGCGTATTCTCAACGCTAACTTTTAGCGATTTTCATAGTAAGGAAAGTTAAGATAATTACTGTGATGGACAGCAATCAAATAAATTTTAACATTCACTATGGAATTGTGTGTTCTGATTATGGGCCACTGAACTTTGCTGATCTGAGATTACTCTGAAGTGCGCCCAAAACGTTTCAGGCAATCTGTATAGACGTCAAGCACACGGTGATTTCGTGTCTCATTCCGACTAGGTTTGCTATGTGGAACACAGACGCACATAATTATACAGTTTTTGGGTAACAAATGTCTTTTGGAGGCAATGAATATCGTCAACTTCGTTATCCAAAACTATCCATCCTGCATGGACCCGTATAAAGGACATTATGGCACGTCTACATTTGGGAATATTGACTGCTACAGTGAGTGACCCATCTCATGAAATGTTTTCCGAAATTCTGAAATGCGTTTTCGATTTGGAAGGATTACTTAGGTGGAGTTGTAATAATGATTATTTTGCGGCGTAATCATATAATATTTCAGCTTTTAAATACACCTTTATTGATCTCCTGCAAAACCCACACTCGGTAAAAATGACTACGTAAGTAACATGGATTTTACTCAATAATTTTTGATGGTCTTATAAATTCAAATATATTATAAAAAGCATGCATAAAATATGCTTTCTTTGCTCATTCGGTGGCGAATCACGTCGACTTTACATTTTATTCTTGAAAACGGAGTGTATTAAGGCTTTAAACAAATTTTTCTTTATACGATTTTTAAGACCGTGCAATTTACATTCATACAGCATCGTACCTGTCTGTTTTCCATTGCTCCTCGTGAAATGTACAACACAGTCCGCACTCATTGCAACATTTAATGAAATCTAAATGGTATCTTTTTAAAAACATAGAGGAATAAATTATTTTCTTTACACGGAAAACATGCGCTTTGTAGAGTGAAATCGCTAAACGCTAATGTAACGACTGAGCTGGCTTAAAATTATTCGGGAACTGGAAAACTTTTTAAAACCTAAATATACCCTGTCTTCAAGCACAAAATGTAAAGTCCACGTGATCTGCCATCAAATGAGCAGAAGAAAGCATATTTTAAGCACGCTTTCTATAAAATATATTTAAATATATAAGACCATCCAAAAATCATTGCGAAAAATGCATGCTACCTAAGTAGCCATTTTTTACCGAGTATGCTTTTTACAGGAGATCAAAAAGAAAAGCACTCAAAAGCTGACATTCTGGAGAGTCCGATGGATTACTGGATTATGCCATATGATAATCAGTATTACAATCCTACCTAAGTAATCCTTTTAAATCGAAAACGCATTTCAGAATTTCGTAAACATTTCATGAGATCAGTCACTCATTGTACACATGTTTTCTATGGACGTAGATAAGAAAGAAAATGTTTGTTGCCTTTGTATACGTACCCTTAACCTTTTTCATTTAGATCTCATATGGTAAGGGCATTGACAGGAGACGGTTGATTATCTGCTTCCTTTTCTCTTGTAAACTGTGCAAAGGGGTGATTTGGCTGAATTGCAGTTCACGTTTCTTGACAATNCGTAATGTCGCCCGTCTGCATGGCTGCCTCATTTGTGCACTTTCAAGACTGGATGAACTGGAGAGAGGGCGTAACCAAGGTGAATTCCCGGTGTGGACAATTTTGGCCGGATCCTTTGATTTTAGTTGTTTTATCTTACGCTGTAGATTTCTTTCAAAAATCATAATTTTACAGGCTTGCAGGAACAGTTTTCTTTACTCTACTGGATAGGTATTTGTAGGGTTCCAGTGAATATAACTTGGTCTCTCTGTTTTGGACAGTTTTAAACTTATCCTCTCTTCTTGATGGTTATTCGAGATTCTGGAACGATGAGAAGCTGATCGGCCGTCTGAGTAGTTACTCGCTTTCTGTTATGTAAACGTGCTTGTTAGGCTCTCACCTACCCCAAATCCATCCTTGGGGGAGAACCTGTGGGGTCTATGTAGTTTAAATAACTTCCAGACTCTGCTACCTAAATCAAGTTTTCTATGCATGTCGATGTAGTTTGTTAAAATAGTAGTGCTTGCATACATTAGAGAAGGCCTAAGAGCCTGTCTACCAGAGTTAAGCCTTCACTGAACTTATCATAATCGGGAGCACTGTCTGGGACCTAAAATTGTTGTAAGCAGGAATTTGACGCCGACGGGGTCAATCAGATGGACAAAAGCACTTCATCATCAGTATCTATTCACCTGACACCCTCGAAAATCCATGCTTACAGGTTTATCCCAATTCTGCGTGTACAAAACTAATGTGTTAGCAAATATCGTAGTAACGATGGTGTAATAAGCAGAGGGACGGCCAAATCAATTTCTATGATAATCACAAGTTATCGAAAGCCTTTGTTACCTCCGTTGTTGTTATTTTACTTTACTCACAAAAGTCTTTGGACCACCGAAAACATAGGTTTGTTTTTATTGCATAATCTAACGTTATCTTCGTTAAGGTTGCTGTTTGAATATGACACTAGATACCAATAAATAAACGTGTTTTAGTCGACAGTACGCATTTTCGGAAAACTTGGGAGATCTGAACACTGTTTGTTCGTGAAGAAGAAGAAGAAGAGGGTTCGAGCACAGGAACATTTTGTTTATTATCCTGAGCTTTCAGACTCGTACAGGAGTCCATCGTCAGACATAGTAGCGGGAACAGAACAAGCGACAGTTAAAGGGCATGTAGGCCAATCATTGACCGACGGCGCAAGATCGGAGGTGACTGCGCAGGGCTCTATACGCCGGCGCCAGATCGATAAATCGATTGACTGAGTTCCCATCCGAGGCGCAGGCTTCAATCAATTCTCGACCTGTTTTGTTTGTCCGTTTATTCGTCTCACGGACCTTTTAAATATCGCTTACTTGTTTTATTTCCAGGAAGATGCCATAGGGTTTGGGGTGAAATGGGCGTCGCCTGGGTGATTTAAGCGGTGATGCAACTAGGTGCAGAACCATTGCCACGGACACGTGGAAGATTTAATTCATTCTTTGGGATGTTTCGGTATTTATGGAACTGATACTGTTCGTCCTATGAGGCAACTACTTATCGACTATGCACAGCAGGACAATGCATCGAATCGTTTCCCTGTCCATGTCAATCCCGGTAGAACTTAGTTCCAGGCAAAATTTTTCCGAATCCATCGATTGCAAACGTCAGTATCTTAAGCAACATTTGTTGACAGAGATGTCCAGAAGTCCCATATCGCATAAGTATGTTAAGGAACATTAGTTTAGAAAATTTTCAAGATTATTTAAGGCGTGTGGCGAATCAACATTTTTACATTTTACAAAAAAATGCTATAGTGAATAATTCACAGTGTGAGCATTGGATGCTGTATACTCTACACCACCTTGCAAGTTTTCCGTAAACCACGGTAACGTACTTTGTGACTTTCAGTTTACTGTTAAGAAGCCTTACCAACTGGAAGAAGAACGACACCCCTCAGATACAGGGGAAACTGTAAAGCGTACAATTAGCTTTCGCCGATTGTTGATAACTTTCCTGCGTCTGGGCTTTTGGACACTGGTTCTAAAGTACGGCTTCGGATCAATAAATCTTATTGGACAGCTATTTGGTCCCGTTCGAAGAATCACTCGGGGTCTCAATGCGGGCCTATTGGACTATTTTATCGTCTACTTTATCGCTTACCTCAACGTTGCCAAGTTCCATGTTTACTATGTAGTCTTCTACGGCTACTGCAGGACAATCGGCGATCTTCAGCAGTTCATGATGTCTCCACTTTTTGGGAGGGACACCTCACGCCTTATTGTTGAGCAACAGGATACCCAGTCTGGATTGTTGCTAAAATCACCCCAAAGTTATAATCTTGGAGAGAAACTCATTTTCACAGAGATGACAATGAACTGTTTCATGCCTGACGGTCCGAAGTGTCTTTTAGGAACCCTGACAACCGCTGAAGTGTGGAGGTAGGTTGGAATGCTGTAGAATGTCACATTTTGCATCGGTTATCACATTTTAAAAAAGTGCGGGCAATCGCAGATATTACAAGTACATGCTTCCATTTCAACATGAGCATATCGTTTGGAATATACGCATGCAATTACTGCTTCACACAATTACTTGATACAGCCAACACAGCAACCGCAACTATACTTCCAGCATGCAGTGACAAATTAAATTATCCCTGGGTTTGTGGTCATTACAAGGCTCCTATGAAATTTGAAAGAGATCTTGTCATCATTTATTTTTTTAATTATAACCGAAATTGACAGACTTCCTGAGACGGGCCTTTAGGCCACTTATTAGAATTCTATGTAGGTATTGGCATACGTTCTTTGAGTACTATGTGCTGTCGTGAATCTGAATATAACAAGTAGTGCCTGTCACACGCTTACAATTATAAAATTTCCAAATATTCTGGAATTCTAGGCCTGTTTATCTATGATATGAGCCAAGATTATAGCCGAATACGGGATTTATCTATAGATCCGGAGCCTATGCGAACGGTTTAGCAAAGGTCTTGATCGCGTGAGAACGACGATATCTTCTGAGTTTTACAGTAGGGGCCTCAATAACTTGGGAAAACCTTGAGCAAATAACAACCATATTTTACCCCTTTATGAAGTATCGAAGTTACCTTTTATCACTGCTTATTCTGCAACTATAGACGTGGCCAATATAGGATGCATTGCAGTGAGCGCAGCCAAGTTCAAGGGATAAAACACAATCTCAGACGCCCTTCACATTTTATTTACAACAACCCTAATTTCCTCTTCTAGGTCCTTCGACAGAGGCCTATATACCATAATGAGACAGTAAGTTATGATCTTTGAACTTAACTAAAGCCCTTTGCACTACCCACCCAAGTAACTAGATCTATGCCTCCTTACAATTGGACTAAAAAAGGGATAAAATGACAAGAATTGTTTTATTTTCCTCGCAGAAATATATGAAGCTCTTAACCTCCATCACTTTATCCTGCATTTATTGGCAATTTAGATTCCCTCCATAACATGTCAGGGGGTCACAAAATACTCCTCATGTGTATCAATGTTCTACCTGTCAAGCCGGGATGATGCTGATAACGTTTAGTAGGATCAGAAAGAGTAGAATCCACTCATATTATTCTTAAAAATTAGGAAACTTTGTCAGTTTTTATACGAATGATGTTTTGTGTTATATCATGTCGGACGACTAGAACTTTCATTTTGGAGCCTACGAGCGTTCGTGGTTTCCGCAAAAAATGTTTATGCTATAAGACACGTTTATGAGCAAAATGTATTTAAAAATTACAACCAAAGCCATTTCAAAGTCTAGTTCGTACGAAATCCGTCAGTAACTGTGTGCTGAACGCATCAGCCGGCACAATCTGGATTCGTACTTAGCAGAATACAATCTAATTTGAAGATCTGCCGATGCTTATGAAAGCTGTCTTATTTGGCCATATTCACAGCGTTTAACTAATCTAGTTCAGGTCGCTCCCAAGTGGGTTGAGGGAAATACAGACGAAAGCCGATAAACCCGAGAAAGGAGCAAACTTATGCACTACTTGAGCAGAAAATATCTGGGTCGTTAACCGAGAGAACCACCGCACGACCGAGAAGACACTGTAAATCAGATCCATGACATCGTCGATCGTACGCGCGTACCTAGACTGAGGAGGCCCCGAAAATCAAATCGGATGGCAGGCAGACGAGGGTGAGAGTATCAATGTAGATAAGATGATCCACCGTCTGGGACATGGCTTAGGAGGTTGCCGACCGAGGGGACGGAGAGTCGGGCTGCAAAGTCTCCTGCTTAATGTGATCTTTAGGACACTCCCACTAAGTTGTAATCCGAGCCGGGGTCACCCTTTTCTTGTTGTGTGAAATCCTGGTCCTTTGTTTGTGAACCACAGGGTTTGGTGGCAAGCCTAGCAGTGCCAGCCGCCTGCGCCCGATTCCGCCTTCGGTCTTCTTCACACTGTCTTGACGCCGGATTTAGGAGGGTGAGGAGAAGAGAGTTCAGTAGATGCAGTGTAAGTTTACTATCCCTATACACTACTCCACTCGCAAATCACGGTCTCTGCGTCCACTAGACTTCCAAATGCATGATGGACATCGCCAGGAACGACGGTGGAACTGTCGTATGTGTCACCGACTCAATTTAGCACCGAAATGTGCTCTACGGGGCTTGATGGTGCCCATCTATGCATCTATGCAAATTTTCTCAAGGGTACTCGTCTCATTTCGCAGCACAAATCTTAATTCGCATAATTTTTGGGATCCTCATAAATGTGCTGGTAATGACGTTTACAGTCCCCGTTGGGACGTTATACAGGGCATTTCGGCATTTTCATCCTAAGGCCTGGAATCCTCAAAGACCTAACTGACACTGGACCACTGCGCGCACGTTTCTGAAAGGTGGCTTAGTGGGCGGCTAGTTTTCCCGCAGTGGTGAGACTGGAGCTGGTGCTGCCAGTTCCGTATGTGCCGCAGTTGTTATACCATGAGCGTCTTTCCTCTGCAGTGAAAACCAGTTGGAAATTTACTTATACACTATCAAAGTCGTCCAATTCCTGCTGCATGCTCGCTTGTGTTCCAGCGCGCGTGCACAAGTGCCGACGGAAAGACGTCCCATGCTTTGAAAACATTGCTGGATCTTGTGTTAGATAGAGGCCGAAACACCCCTTCAACACTTTGAATAATATCAACGCGTAGAATTGGGCGAGAACCCAGAGCTGTTTCTGTACATGCTTAACAGTAGAGGAATCTGCGGCCACTCAACTGCTGATAAAAGTCAAACCTTTTTTTGCTTTTTCCCTTCCGTGGGCAGCTTAGAATTACTTAAAGAATAGTTGGCCTTTTATGCACTTTACAGTCGCTTTTCGGACGTAGTTTATTGGCTAACCATGCAGCGTACCCCTTTCAGCATATTTTATTCGAAATATTTACCTCCGATTGGTCTAGAAATACTTCTCTGGCATTGTCTAGATTATAGTAAATGATGTTCAGTAAAGCGGAGTGCCTCACGGACGTTGTCATCTACTTCATAAATAAGCATCCTGTTTCGGAGTCACACTTTGACGTCCGGGGTAATATGGCGGTTTGTCGGTCCGTACTTATCTGGAACAACTGTACTATAGTTCCCAACTTTGCCAAATTTGGACATTGTGCAGTCCAGTCACAGCATTACATTTTTAACTAAATTGTTTGCAATTATTTTGGCTTGACGAAAAGGGGCTTTAAGATAGAAACATTCATAAGCACAGGTGCAAATTTTATAAAGCAAACCGATGAAACTATTATTAAGTAGTAACCGTGGCGTTCTTCACTGTGTAAGCGTTTTTGGTAGAAAAATGAATAGTTTTTGATTAATCGGGTGTGCTTTTTGGCTCAACCCTGTTACGAAGAATATGCTCAGGTCCTCAGAATATTTAACGCAATATAAGTGAGAAGTTTTAAGATGTGTCACAATAATTTCTAGTTTATATTTTTAGATGCTGAAGTTTAAGGAACGAAAAAATTACCATGACCTAATCATGTTTGAATTAACTTAAAAACAAACATACTTTTTCCACGTTTACTGCTTGATTATCTTCTTAAAGCTTTGTGGAGTAATGTACCTTGCAGCGGGGATTAAGATTTTATCTCATATGTTGAGTACATGTTGTTATTGGAAAGACCCAAAATTTGAGTCCACAAAGCATTACGGAAGCTCTACCTCGAGTCAATGCGAACTTTATGTCCCAGAAGGCAAAAGTTTAGAAACGGATGACGGCAAGATCTTCTGGGCATAGTTTGAAAAAATATTCTTCAGTAAATGCTTTTAACTTTCTAGGAGCTAACAAGTTTGCTTCCCTTAACTCTTTAGCTACATTTATTTTCCATGGCGCAAATTCGTAATATCAATAACCCCGACAAACTCCGTGGCTTTAAAAGATCTCGGCGCTCTCTCCGGCGCAGTGCTTACATTTTTCTTTGTACTGACGTTTCACTCGTGGACTGAAGGAAATTGTACGTCCTCCTGCTGTTTTTTCGGCGTCATTCACTATTTCATACAGTTCCATNTCAAAGTGTATTCAATCAGTTCGCGCCCGTCTGTGATGAAAGACCGTTGAGATTACTATTACATTTGTCTCTTCGTTTAAAAAAGTGCTTACTAAGTCGTTTGAAACTCACTACATACTTGATAAGGCCGAACTACAAAAACCTCGGAATATATAGTTGTGCAGAGATGTGTTATGCCTCCGGAGACCTTAAGGAAACGTTGATGTCGTTTTCAGAGCCATTTAAGAAAATAGCCTGTTCGGGGTTTTTAAGATGGACTCTAAATTATTTCTCGTAGGTTGGAGCTCACTTTATGATCAAATCATCGGAATGTAAATTCATAATACTCAAATCCTACGTCGCCAACCCTAAGCTTTAGATCGTCAAATCAACATGATTCCCTGGTTTACCGGCTAGTCGATTGAGGCGTTATTACAAATGCGTACAGATGAGGCTGAGTTTTTTTGTAGGAGATTATGAACTTCTCCCAAAACTACTTATCCTTTGCTAGTTAAGATCAACTAGAGTGTTTGCCCCGCAAATTTTTAATACTTTGCCTATTACGGCACACAGGTTTCCCTGTTTTAAGACTTATTCTACTTTACTGGCTTCCCCTGCCGCTTGCTAAGTTTGAAGTCCAAACTTCAGTGGAATAAGGCATGGTAGGCCCACAAACTTGAAA